CTATTCCCTACTCTCATGTCCCTTTTCAAGCAATTTCAACCACATCCCCTACACTTCTATATCCCTCCCTTCCTTTGTTGATGAGCATATTGGGGACCCCCTTGTCTATGATGATCTTAATGTCCCTCATTCGTCTATTGTTGAGAAAAAGGGTGATGTTGCCACCTAAAAATATTTTAGTGAGGAGGATTTGCCATTTTCTTTTTCTTTCCATTCTTTTATTCCCCCTTCTTCTTCTTATTTTCTTGATTTTCTTTTTAATCCCTCTTTTTCTTTCTTTTGGCATCTCCCTTCTCACTTGTGTGTAACAATCTTGTTGCACGTTCTTATCCCGTCACTTTCCTACCGTTTATCATATGAAATGTGTAGTAGTGCATTTGATAAGCTCTTGCGTGCATTGAATTATTATTTTCTAGAGCGGTCACGCTTGGACCTTAAGCAAGCCTTTCTCGGGAAGTAACCCGTGTTTTATTGCTTTCATTTTCTTGTCTTTTTAGAATAGATTTTCTCTCATGGAAATGTTTGTGTGCCTTTTTCTAGGTACATGACTTGATATACTTTGGTGCTTCTATTTAGAGCAAGAATCTAGGAAGTTTGACTCCTATTTTTGCTAGCATATGGAAGGCAAGGTTCAATTCTTGAAGAAATTAGCTTTGAAAGGTTTAATTGGGTCATTTGCGGGTATTTACACCCACCTAATATCTGGTAATATCCTTTCTTGCTCTTTCTTAAGTGGATGATGACTTGTTGGACATATGTTGGTTTGATTGGATTAATCTCCTTGTTTTCCCCTCCCATGGTTTCTATGATCTATTTTGAGTGTATTGTCTCATTCAATCTTGGGGAGGGTATTCTATCATGTTTGATGGGATGTTGATTCATATATGCCATGCACATTTGTATATGAATTTCCATGTTCTTTATTTTGAAAAATCCCAAAATGATTTTTGTTTCTATCAAGGCAAATTTGCAATGTGTTTTGTTTTGTTCTTTCTTTGGACATAATACTTTTGGACTTGTATAGTTGAATGCTTTTCTACTTAAATGGTAACGGTGTGCACGGTTTGAGAGTGTGCTTGGTTGATTCATGGATAAAGCATGCTAAGGTAGTTTGTTAGAACTAGTGGGACCATGAAATCGGATTCTACTTGTTTGTGGCATGTTAGTAGTTGCTTCCTATAGTCGAATTGACACCAATAGTGAGTTTTTGCTACATCCATGTGAGGTTCATTATTTTTCCAGCCTTCAACATATATTTGCATGAGTGGCATGGATCCTTGACTATTGCGGACCTAATCTAGAATCTTGACTAATAATTCTCAAACTCGAGACCGAACCATCTATGGAGGACAAAGGCATCTTTTCGGGGTGGTAATTTTTCTTTCCTAGGATAGTTTTCTTGTTTTTTGTTTTTGGGTTTACATTTTCCTACTTAATAACCATTTGAGCCTTTTCTCTTCTTTTCAAGCCACATCTTTAAAATTTTGAGCCTTTGTTTCATTTTTGTTCCATTTTTGGTTTTTGTAGCAAATGATCATTTTATTGGAGTATGTGGTATATGAGTTTGGATATTGGTTCATATTTGTAAGCAAGCTTGTGATTTGTATATTTGTGTGAATAATGGCAAATGAATAAATGAAAAAGGCGTCCAAAGTTAAAAAAAAAGGCAAGGAAAAAGCAAGTGCAAAGTTGAAAATCTCGTCCAAAGTTAAAAGAGGCTAGGACAAAGCACTAATAAAGAAAAAAGAAAGAAAAAAAGTGAAAAATGAAAAAAAATGCAAAAATATATTTATGTGAGTATCCTTCTCCCTATTTAGACCATTGAGGACAACGCTCCATTTAAGCTTGGGGGAAAGCGTTCTCAAGCTTTTTTGTATATGTTTGTGATGTTAGCTTTGAATAAGCTTGGGGGGTGTTGGTGCTTTTGTTTGGTGATTACTTGATTATGGTGTTGAGGATTGATCACCCTTTGCTTCACTAATTAGGAAAACCACTAAATTTTAGCTTACCCTTTACCCTTTTTACCTTACATTACTACCTCTGAAAGTCCTTTTGACCTAGAGGTTGAGTCACCTATGGGGGAGGGTATGAGTCATAGTCTAAGGAGAGGGGATGCATTGTCAAGACGTCGAGTAGCCCAAAAATTATCTCTTTTTCCGGTTTCTTTGTGGAACTTTTGAGATGCTCACTAGGTAAGATAAGAGACTAGTAGGGAGAACGTGGTAAGACCGTTTGGGATGAAAGTGGATTGCGAAAGCTAGTTCCTATGCTTAGCATATTTATGTTTCAATCAAGCTCGGGTATCTTGGAACGTGAACTCCTTTACTAGTTTAGAAAGACTTACATTCATTTGTGCTTGTACATTTGGAAAAGTCCTTACATGAACATGTGTTGGATTTTCTTTTCTTTTGATTTTCTTCTCATCCTTTGCCTTGTTTGTATTATTACGAGAGTTATAGGTTAATATGTTAGGAAACCTTTACGAGAGCATCACTCGTCCTCTAGGGCGATCTAGGGGTTTAAATAACTTGTCTTAAGTTGCTAAAATTTACCATGATTCCTACGAAAATGATTTAGTGTATATTCCCATCCTCTCTAGTTCTCTTTTTTCTTTCTTTGCGTGAATAATTTCATCATTTTTCCCTTGGGTTGGATTTTGTTTTGCTCGACGACGAGCAAATGAATAGCTTGGGGAAATTCGATGCGTGCCATTTATGGAACTCTTAGGCTAGGTTTTCTTCTTATTTGTATGCTCGTTTTTAGTCTTTTATGTCGTGTTTTTAATTAATAATGCTTCAATTTCGTGTTTGTGTGTAAGTTTAGAGAAATGCGTTCTTTTAATGGATTTCTTATTATTTTGTTCATTTCTCAGCTATCTCTCTCGCTTCTCTGTTTATTTGACTTGTTTTGTAGGTGTGTCGAGTTTCCCGGATTTAACCATCAAGGAGAAAGCTCAAGCGCATTCAAGGAATTCAACGGAGCCGAGTTCGAGAAGCTAAGCATGCAAGTCAAGCAACCAAGCGAGCTTCGTAAGCACCAAGAAGCTCCCCTGAGCACACTGCCCGAGCAGACATTGATGAGTGTCATTTATGGCACTCATTTGGTTCTCTTTAGGGTGAATTTCATGCTATTCTATAGCTCTTTTCCTTAGCTAGTCCTTAATTTTACTCTTTATTTCTGTATTTTGCATTTTCTTAGTTGAATTTCTATCTTTATGCATTTCTTGGTTTATTTTGTTAATTTCTCTTTTATTTGCTTGTTTTCCTTCATTTTTCATGTTAAAGTAGTTATCCAAGATTCCCGAGGCCTCTTCCCAAGTTTTGCATTGATTAGGATGCCTAATGTTCTCCATTTAAAGCTCAAGCATGGAGAATTGCAAGTTCCTAAAAACCTTAGGTCGTACATTCAAGCCGTGGGGGTATGATTTCTCGTGTTGAACCCACAAACATGGAGTTTGGAAACTACAAGGTCCCGCGTTTATCAAGAGCATTGAGTGGAACGCATGAGGAGCATTGACATGATAATGAAGAGGGCTTCCCTGTTCCCAGGCGTGGGCGTGCGCAACCATGGCACGGCTGCGCGGCCTGGTGGCGCGGCCGCGCCTTTCTATTGCACGGGGGTGCCTGTCTGGGTCTCTGTTCCATACCCAGATCTACGCAGCCGCGCTCTCCCTTATAGTTGGTCGCGCTTGTACGGGTTTATTTGGGGACGATGTAACTAATTTCTCTTTGTTAGTTTTACTATATATAGATTTTCGTTCTATTTTTAAAGAGAGAAGATTAGAATAGATTTTGGAGAATTAGAATAGGAATTGATGAGAGAGAAACTCTTGATTATAGAGAGAGAAGTTCTTGATTGATGATTGAAGATTAATGATTCTAGCATTTTCTCCTTTGAATTGAAGCAAGTTTGTAAGGATTTCTTTTACTTTAATGCAATCTTTAGCTTATCAATTCAATTGTTTTGTTGATTGTTTAAGTTTGAATTGAATTTGTGACTGAATTAGTTTCGTTGATATGATAATGATGAAATTGTTGAATAACGTAGTTTTGATCTTGATTTCTATGGATTGTGAGTAGTTCTCTTGCCTAGGGAATTGTGAAGCATATATGAATAATGGATTTATGCTAATTGGGGGAAATTGATGGAGTTAATGTTGTGATTAAATTGGTTGATTGATTAAGTGCATGTGTGTGATTAATTGAAGATTAGCTAACTTTGATTGTTACACTATAATGCATTGTAAGCTCACATTGATATGGAAAATTGATTTGTGGTTTGCTTTTGTTGATTGAGTAGGTTTGTAAGGTTCCTAGTTAGAGTCTCTTGTAGTTGACGCTAGCTTGACCTCTAGGAGATAAGCCTACCATACTCTCTTGATTGCTTAATTGATTTTCCCTCGCAATACTCTACTTAGTCATCTCAAATTCCAATTAGCTATATCCATTCCGAGTATATGCGGATCCTAACCCTCGCGCTTGATATTATTTGATTTCTTCTTGATTGTTTGATTGTTTAGAATATACACACCTTACTTTATTACTTCGAGATAGCTTAGCTTTAGCATTAGCATTCATCTCCCATTCCTAGAGTTTCGACCCTCGACTTTCTCCTATGCTAGGTATAAGGGTGTGTTGAGAGATTACAAATTTTATTTTGACCGAGGGTAGATTAGTTTTCAACGACCTAGTCTCCACTCTAGATAAAAAATGGCGCCGTTGTTGGGGAATGGCGTAGTTGTTTTCTATTGTTGTTGAGTCTATTTCACTTAATCTCAAAAATACAAAACGTTTTTTCTCTTAAGGCTACATTTGTAGCCGTGCTATTGATATTTTCTTTGAGTTTTTTGTATGCGTAGGATAAGAGGAAGGACTTTAGTGCGATTTGATCCGGAAATCGAGTGAACAATAACAAGGATAAGGGTTTCTAATCGTTCTTTGAGTCCAAGCTCTCAAAGAGAGGAAATTCCCCAAGAAAGAGAAGACGAGGATCGAGTAAGCATGGGAGCTAATCTAAGAGTTGCTTTGAAGGAGTTGGGAACTCCCGGCGCTTATAGATTTGAGAGTGGCATAGCTCCACCATCAACTCCCGCCAATGACTTTGAGATAAGACCGGCAATGATAACAATGATAGAACGAAGGAAATTTAGTGGTGCCAAGCATGAAAGCCCACTAAACCATCTCAAAGAGTTTGAGAAGTATTGTAATACCATCAAGGTCAATGGGGTTTCTCAAGAGTTCATAAGGCTCAAGCTTTTTGCGTTTTCTCTAATCGGAAGGGCTTCGGAATGGTTGGACAAGGAAGTGAAACCTAATTCCTTAAGAACTTGGGATGAGGTTACTAAGGAGTTTCTTTCTCGCTTCTATCCTCAAAAGAAGACAGCCGAGGCAAGAACTCTAATCCAAAGTTTCAAGCAAAAGCCTAGTGAGAGTTTGTATGAGGCTTGGGAAAGATACAAGGAGTATCAACGTGAATGTCCTCATAATGGAATTCCAACTTATCAAATAATACAAATTTTCTATGGACGATTGAGCCCCAAAGGTAAGTCGTGTCTTGATGCCGAAGCCAGAGGCCCAATTATGAACAAGACCAAAGAAGAGGTTATAGATATAATTGAGGATGTAGTTCGTCACTACATGGATTGGCAAGAGGGAGAGAAAGAGTCCATAAGCAAGAGTGGCTCAACAGTTTATTCGGTTGATCATCTTAACGCAATCAATAACTTGTCTTCCGTAATCTCAAACTTGGGCAAGGAGATGACATTGATTAAAGCCAAGCTAGAGAGTGCCTCTACGATTGCACCAAGTCTTCTCTCCCACATAAAAGGGAGAGGTACACCTTCTAACTCTACTCCTCCTTCTACTTCGAGTAATATGCATAGTGGTTGTGTCTTTTGTGATATTTGTGGGTCCTATGACCATGATTCTTCAAATTGTCCAAATGGTTTTGAGAATTGTGATGGTGTTAAAAACAATGATTGTGAGCAAGTGAATTTTGTTTCCAATAATAACAATGGACAAAGATTTGATTGTCCAAGGAATTTTTGGATTAGGAATTCTCACCAAAAAGGTAGTTTTGATAACTACAACAATGGTGGTTTTAGGAACCAAGGAAATTAAGGTTTCCGAGGTAACTATAACAACCAAGGTTATAGTAATCAAAACCAAAGACAAGGGTATGGAAATCAAGGCCAATCTCATGGGTTTGATGGCCAACACCAAAATTTTGGTAACAATCAAAGCCTAGGTAATTGGAACAATCAAACTAGGGGAAATTTTCAAAACAACAACCAAAGGGGACCCCACCCGGATTTGCTCCAAGACCTCAAGGCAATGGTGATAATTCTTATGCTCAACCCCCATCTTCCAAGACTACCTTAGAGGAGATCATTAAGAAACAAACCAAGATTTTGAATACCTACATGTCGGTGAGTGATAAGAAGTTCAATGAGATTATGACACACAACAAGATGCTTGAAACCCAAATCACTCAACTAGCCAACACTTTGAAAGATTGTGCTTGTCCTTCTTCACTACACTCTAAAGGAGTTGATCCTAAGAAACCCGTTTATTCTATCACCATAAGAAGTGGAAAAGTGCTTGAAGAGAGAGTTTCTAAGAATAGTGAAGAGGATAAGAGGAAGAGTGATTGTGACTCAAGTGAGGAAAAACAGAAATATGTGTCAAAGAGTGTGAGCAAAGAGGAAGTCTATGAGAAAAAGAAGAGTGTTGCATTGAGAGAATGCAAGAGAAAGCGAGAAAACCCGACCTTCCATATATCCAAAAGTTTTTGAGGAACAAGTTAGATGAACAATTTGGGAGATTTCTTGACATGTTGAAGGAGGTCTATCTTTCTATCCCTCTCACTGAAGCTATGACCCAAATGCCTAGATATTCCAATTTCCTTAAGGATATTTTTAGTGGCAAGAGAGAGTGTTGTGGTGTATTTATTTGGTAGAGCTTGGTGAGTGTTGTAGTGCATTGATTCACAACGACCTACCAAAGAAGATGAAAGATCCGGGCAATTTCTCTATTCCTTGCAAAATCAAGAGTAAGTTGTTTGAAAATTCATTGTGTGACTTAGATGCTAGTGTTATCATTATGCCTTACTCGGTGTTCAAGAAGCTTAAGCTAGGAGAACTTCTTCCTACAAACATGACCTTGCAATTAGCCGATAGATCTATTAAGTTCCCAAAAGGAAGATTTGAAGATCTTCCCCTTAGGATAGGTGGTTTCACAATTCCCGTAGATTTTATTGTGCTAGAAATTGAAGAGGATGACCACATTCCTATTATTCTAGGGAACCCATTCTTAGCTACTTCGGGTGCTCTAATAGATATTAAGGGACGTCGTATCACTTTGAGAGTTGGTAATGAAAAAGAAATTTTTAAGCTAAAACCAATGCATGAATCCATGTCTTTTGTGAAAGGAGCCATGAATGATAATTCCCTTCGTTCATTGGATAATGTGTGCGTGATTAATTCTTAAACTAATCGTGTTCATGAGATTTTTTATGATGTGCTTGTGAAGTTTGATGGCATGAAAGTTAGTGAAGAATAAAAGCTTTCAAAGGACAAGGACGAAGAGGTAATTGACATTCCACATTAGTTTGAGCTTTGTCCTCAAGAGGAGGAGGATGGTTCCAAGGAAGTGGATGGTGTTAACCCGTCTACAAGAACTAACAAGGCCAAGAAGAAGGAAAGGGCTTTTAGGAAGAAGCGAATGAGATTGAAGTTGAAGAATGAGAAGGTTGTTTTTGAAGTTCAAGAAAATGAGGTTTCATCAAGCAACTACGAGGAGTTCCTACATATTGAAGAGAAGTTTTTACTTTCCACCACTTTGAGTAAGGTGGTGTCCTTTGACCCTCCATGATTTGGAGGAAGGGTCGAGCTTAGGACCTTAAGCAAGCGCTTCCTGGGAGGCAGCGCGGAGATTTCTAACCTTTTTCTTTTGATTTCTATTTTCTTAATTTTCTTTATTTTATTTTCTTTTCTTTCACTTGTTTTTCTTTTGGAATTATAAGGCAAATTCATGGAAATAAATTAATTCAAATGAGCACGATCAATGGATAGGTGTTTTGCGGTTTTTGATGTGATGTATGTTCGATTTTATCAAATTTTGAGGTAACAAGGGTAAGAAATATTAGTGAGGTAAGATAGGGAAATTGTGCTAAAATTTGAACTTGGTGAGTTCATTGTGGTGCTATCATTATTTAAGGGGTGTTGAACCCACATTCTTCATGTTTAGAAACTAATCATTATGATGGGTTCAAAAATCCTTGGATGATATTTAACGATAAGCTCACAGATGAACGCACCAAAGAAGCAAAAAGCCGAGCTGTCTGAATGGTGCGAGCACTCCAGGGGAGGGCGCCGCCGCGCTCGACACGGGCGCGGGCGCACACTCTGGTTGCGCGGGCGCGCACCCCTGCAGCCGAGCCTTAACTTTCTTCTTTCCCCTTTCTTTTCCTCATTTCTTTTTCTTCCCTATCACATTCGAACGCACTCCTCTCATATCACTCTCAAAACTGCACAAACCCTATCCCCTTTCATCAAATTTCATCACATATTCAACCAATTTTCAATCAAAAATCATCAAATCTTTCCACATTTTCATCCTTTTCAATAAAGACTACACTATTTCCATCTATTTCAACCTTCAAACTCTCTAATCCATTGTTGAAGCAAATTGGGGCTTTTTCGTTTGTGTGGGAATTGGTGGTCAAAACTTGTTCAATCTTGCATCTTGTATGGTATAAACATCTTCTTTTACTCTTAATTGCATAATTATATCATATAGTTGCAAGTATTGGATTGTTGATGGTTGTGAATAGTAGTAGTATGAATTTTGGTAATTTTGATTATTGATGTTGAATTTTGGTTGATTATATATGTTGTTGTTGATTGTTATTGCTTCACATTATGTTGTTTGATGTTTTTGTAGTTAGCATGATTGTTGAAAATTGTTGTGGTCGGAGTTTTGGTAGTGTGACATTGATATTGTTGAGCATTGGTTATTGGTTTCATTGTTATTGGTGTATTGTGGGAAAGCAATTGTTGATTTGAATTGGTGATGATTTTATAAATTTGGGATTGTTTGATTTTGGTAGTGAGTTGTTGATTAACGGTGTTGGTAAAGGAGTGTGATTGAGGCATCTAGAATTGTTGGTTGGTGTTTCTGGTGGTGTTTGTGGTGTATTGTGATTGGATTGTGGAGCTACTATCTTTGAGAATTCACCATGTCTAAACACATTAAAAATCTCCTCAAGAAACAAAAAACCAATGTAACCATTGAAGAACCCGCTCCTTCCCCCTCTACCTCACAACCTCGCCAACCTACCCCTATTTCCAAACTACGAATTACCGACCCCATTCAAAAGGCTAGATACACCAAACTTAAAGATAATCGTTCCCTTAAACCTTCCCGACATTACGTCCAACCGGACATGATTAAGTTGGGAATTGATGGAGACTTAAGGGAATTGCTCAACAACCTCCGTATGGGATCATTTGTGAGCCGGAGCTTCCGTACCTATGTTCAACCTACTTTAGTGTTCTTGACTATGTTTGATCTTGTTGTGGCTAAGAGAGGTTACTACCGAGTTCGGTTTCAACTCTTCGACATTCAATTTGATCAATCTCTTGAAGAGTGTAATGCGGCTCTTGACTTCGATCCAAACTCGGATATTTTGGATCCCGAGCACTTTTCAATTATGAGTATGATCAAAACTCATGGTGGGACGACATTTCAGGGTGTGGTGACTTTGTGACCCGGTATGCTAAGATTAGTAAGGTGTACTATAGACACCTAAAAATGACTCCCCAAAACCAAACCCGATGATAAATAACCTTTCACCGCCTCTATTGGTCGGGTTTAGTATTTAATCCCGATAGTGCTTAAAAAATCGTATTTTATTAAATTCATACCTTTGAAAGGTCCATGGATTAGTCTTGATGTTTGGTAAAAGCATAGTTTTAATTAATTTTAAGCCCAAACCTTTTTATTTTATTATTTTATTATTTATTTTTAGCCCAAATATTTTATTTATTTTATTTCATTATTTTCTTATTTTAGCCCGAATAATAAAAGTCAGGAAAAAGCCTAAAATTATCAATCGGCATTTAAAAAGCCGAAAGAAATTAGGGTTAAAAATGAATTTAGACGGAAAAATGGACTAGAACTGACCGTGTCACGGTACAGCCTGACCGTGTCACGGGAACCATTCCCGTCTGACGGTGGGACTTTCCGTGACACGGGAGGTCTGCCGTGACACGGGAAGTTCCGTGTCCTTTCCGCGTAAACCCTTAACGCGTTTTCCGTTCCGTTTTCTGAAAATTTCCCGCGTCACTCCAAAACTGTACCGTGTCACGGGAATGTGTACCGTCTGACGGTACTGTCTAACCGTGTCACGGTACAGTCTGACCGTGTCACGGGATACTTTTTTAGGATTTTTATCATTTTAGGGTTCCGTGTGCTCCCTCAGCACATTTCCCTATAAATACCCCCTCATTTCTGATGTACGGGGTAACCAGAATTCTATTATTCTTATTTTCTCTCCTCTATGCTATTAACCTAAACACTAGCCTACCCTTTTCACTTCAAAATTCCTTCTTCAAGCACTCAAAGGAGTCCATATTTTACTCGAGGTTCTGTCCTTAAGCCAAGGCGTGAAAGGTAGAATCGTTTGAGGGTTTGGCCCCAAAATCAACTTTAGTTTTATTTAATTTAATTTAATTATTGTTTTATTATTTCCTTGAAGTTACTAACTCGTTTATTATTTTGTAGTTGCAAGCAAACAGATTCAAAGTAAGGATCATGCTCTTTTATTATTATTATTTTTTTTCTAACAATTTTACGTTGTTGGGATTGTGATTAAATTGGTATTAATGTTGATTCTATTATTATTTTTATTTTGATCACCATATTGCATGTTTAAAGGGAATACGTAATTGAAAATCACGACTAATAAGATAATTTGGACGATCGGTTTAGGATCCCTTTTAATCTTATTATTAATTGAAGTGATCACCAAATTTTTAGAATTATGTGTGCATTAATCTTAAACCAATTTAGTTAAATAATAGTTTGGAGCGAATTGAATTATTGTTTGTATGCCTTTG